AAAAAAGGCAAAAAAATCCCGGCAGACGGCGGTATACGGTGGTTAGACGGCGGCGGGCAAGGGTGGACATGTCAAATCCGGACTGCCCGAGCCCGAACCCGAATTTCTTGCTTGGACGGGAGGGAATTGGGCCGGCCCGCCCGAGCCCAAAAAAAATTCAGGCTTCGGGCGACCCGCCGACCCGAAGTTCCAGCACTAGACCCACCTAAGAGAGTCTGAAAACCCAGCCAAAACTTGGCGGAATCTTCGCTAATTTTATCTATCCCAATTTCAAAAATTTCAGATTTTCATTAAAAAATTTAATAATAGCAGTAAATAATTTTTTTGAGTAATGATTATTGTAAAATACTAATCGGATTTCTCCCCTTATAAACCCCAAAAAAACCCTCTTCCTCTTCAGCACTTACTTTCCCACTCTCAATCATCTTCTTCAATTCTTCCCCAAAAAAATCCCCAAATTTCCATTTAGGGTTTCTGCAAATCGAAGATATCAAGGAAAGCCATGAAAGCCTCCGTCAAGTTCCGCGACGATCAGAAGCCGCTGTTCAGAGCCAAAGTCCCCCTGAGCATTCTCGGCTTGCCTTTCCAGTCCGGAATCGTCGCCGGCGAGTCCAAGGAGCTCACTCTCAATCTTGGAACCTTCTTCGAATCTGGACCGTCCATCAGGATCGCCTACCGTCCCAACGACACGTGGAACCCCTTCTCCCTCGTCGTCAAGACCGGCACCGGCCACTTCGGCTCGCCGGCGGCGAGTTCGATGCTGATGAGCGCCGAATTCAACTTGCTCGGCCGTGGAAACCCTAGGTTCATGCTTAACTTCAAGCCTCGCTTCGGCGATTTCTCGATCAGGAAATCGCAGTCCTCGGTGTTCGACAACCTTCTTGTGAAGCCTCAGAACGGCACCGCGTCGGAGGACGACAACGGTTCGATCGAAGTCGTCGAGTCGCCGATGATGTCGATGAACGGCTCGTTCGCCGGGAAGAAGATCGCGCTTTTCCCGTCCGATACTTCGTCCATCGCCGGCCTCTTTTCCGGCATGGATGTGACGGCGAGGACCGCCGTGCCAGTGAGGAACCGCGCGGCGGTGAACTTCCGGTGGGGAGTTAGGGTTCCGGCGGAGATCAAGAGCGTGGCTGGGAATCCAACGGCTGGGATTTCGCTTCAGAAAATCCCTTTCCTGGTGATGAACAAGATCGGCATCGAACACGTGGACGGTCCGGATCCGAAGATGACCGCCAAAGCGAAGCCGCCATCGTGGCCGGAGAATGCTGACGTGGCGGAGGCTTGTTTCACGGTGAAGCGTCAGCTGGAGGTTATGCAGGCGGAGAACGGGCTGCTGAGGAAGGCCGTGGAGGATCTCCGGCGAGAATTCGTCGGAGCATCGCCGGCGGGGAGTTTTGATTCGGGAAAGTACAGAGAGTTCGATCTGAACGGAAGTAAAACCCCGAAAAGTGATCGCCGGAGCAGCGAGAAGAAGGCGGCGGAGGCAGAAGCGAGTGAGGAATTAAAGAAGGCATTAAAGGGAGCTTAAATCTTGGGTTCGAAAGTTTGAATTTGTGGATTGAATTATATGCTTGTTTAATTTTTTTTTTTTTTTTTTTTTTTTGTTAATCATGGTTGTTTAATTAGTATATCAATTTTGCGAGACTTTTTCTTTTTCTTTTTTGGATAATTTGATAACGTTTTGGGAACTTTCAATGTAAATTGATTAGGTGATATTATGGGCAATTTAATGAATATTAATTTTGCCTAGCGAGTTTCATTTTCTCATTATTATTATTTTTTTGTTTGTGTTTAAATGGGTGAGGGGGAAAAAATAATAGAGCAGAAAAAAAAAAGAAGATAAGAACAAATACTCTGATCCTCTTCAAGCTAGTTGGGGATTGCAAGTTTCAAATTCATGATGAGCTCTTGGAAAATAAACAGAAAAGAGACAAAAATAGGAGCTATCTACAAATAGGAGCTATCTATAAATATTTTGTCCATAATACACGGATATATTATATAATATGACGGTTCAAAAATATACGTTGAAAGAAAAAAGTTAAATGATGTTTGTATAGGAAAAAATACATATATGTGTTTGGTTGGGTGGAATGGAAATGAATAAAATAGAATAAAATTTTAAATTTGATGTTTGGTTAGATTTATAAAAATTGAATAATCATTTAAAAATAATCGACATTCACTTATTTTAAGTAAATAATCATTTATTACTCACACAAAAAGAATAGTCATTTCAAATTATTTTTTTTATTTTTCTCGTATTTACCATTTAATATTATAATATAATTAAAATATAGTATATAATAGTTATATCTTATAATATGTAATCTAATATAACATACAATAAAAATATTATAATATAATATAGTTATAATAATATAATAATTAATTTATAATATAGTTATAAGTTATAATATATTTATTTAATATTTTATAATAATATTATATAACATATTATAACGTAATTATATTTTATAATATAATATATAATAATATTACGATATAATATAATAATACAATAATATGACATAATATAACAAAGTTGTAATATTTTAACAAATAATATCCAATTATACAAACAATTCTAATATTTTATTTTATTACTTAATATTATATTATAATTATATTATATAATATTAATATAATCATTTAATTCTAATATTATTATCTATTATGATGTATTACACACGACTACATA